TCTGTGAGGAAGAATCACAGTGTGTAAAATGAAGTCTTATCACACACACACACACAACCAGCCACTCTGTGAGGAAGAATCACAGTGTGTAAAATGCTTCGTGTTCAAAGCAGCCAGCTCTGTTCATCCCTGTCCGCCCTCCCCAAGGCCAGCACTGTGCCGCAGTCCAGCCACACATCTCAGGCTGTCCTCTGGGGGCCACTCGGGATGCCCTAACCTGGGGGGCCTCTAATGAGACTCACCTCCGGGAAAAGACTGGGGTCATTTTGCATGAGCAGGGTCTGAAGCTGAGCCTCGTTGAGACCGAAGAGCCCATAGTTTTTCAGGACTTGGATGTTGCCAGGCGTGTGGATGTCATGGGAGAGCGCGCAGGTGGACCTGGGGGAAGACAGTGCCCTTCATGAGGCGGCCAGGTGAGGGAGGGCCTGGGTGGTCTCCGACAGACACTGTGAGTCTACCTATACTCCAGCCTCCGGATAACACCTGGGAGGCACGAAAGGCACCCTGGTGGAGCAGTGGGTTAAACGTTGGGCAGCTAACCAGAAAGGTCAGTAGTTCCAACCCACCAGCCACTCCAAGGGAGAAGGATGTGCCCATCTACAGCCTCAGTCTCCCTCTAGGGGGTCGCTCTGAGCTGGAACAGACACAAAGGCAGTGGGGTTGGGTTTGCAAATGTGGAGCTGTTGGAGGGGCTCACAGAGCGGAGCACTTCCTGCTGCAGGATGTAGCGCAGCGAGCCCCAGCCTGAGTACCTCCAGCTACAGACATGGCCGAGCCCCGGCGCCACGATTGCTGTTTCACCTGCCCAGAGGGGCCTCGGAAGAAAGGCCTGGCAATCTGCTTCTGAACGGGCACAGCCTTTAAAAGCGCACGGCGCCCAGCTGCTCTGCAGCCTGCAGCGCACACACCAACAGCCGGGCTCCATCCTGACTCGCAGCGCCCCTATGGGACAGCGGGAGCTGGCCCTGTGGGTTTCTGAAACTAACTCTTCACAGGGGGAGAAAACCTCATTTTTCTCCCGCTGAGCAGCTTGCGGGTTTGAGCCTTCTACCTCGGCACCCACTACACCACCCCCATAAACTCAGCTCAAACGCACTGCCAACAGGTGGATTTCAACTCATCGTGAGCCTATAGGGCAGGGCAGAAACAACTGCCCTCGCGAGTTTCCCAGACCGAAATCCTTTACAGGACTGTAGAAAGCCTCATCTTTCTCCCTACAGCCGACTGGTGGTTTCCAACAGATGACCCTGTGGTGAGCAGCCGAATGCTTAACCAGTGCTCCACCAGCAACAAAGGAGCTGGATTGAAGCCACGCCCTTTGGTTTTCACCGCCCCGGGGCCCCTTCCTCCCACCACACCTACCTTGACCTCAGATGGACGCAATCAAGCTGCCCTTGGCCTCCGCGCCAACAGCTACCTCTCCCACGGCTCCCACTCCGCCCCCGGGTCGCCAGAACAAAGGAAGTCGCAGGGTTGGAGCCCTAGGGCACCTCCAACCCAGCTCTGGACCCCGCCCTCACGTCTCCAGCCCCTTGGGGTCCCACTGGCTGGGGCTTCTAAACGTGCAGCCGCAGGCCAGCTGTGGACAGACTGTGTTTGGAGGAATGCGCAGTTTCCGAGACCAGGCCCGCGGCTGTCCGCAGGGCCCCAAATACCCCCAAGTGTCCCCGGAGTTAAGGGGCGCAGAGTCCCACTCCCGATCCACCCAGCCGTGCTCTAGGGACCCCGGGACAGGAAGTAGAAGTACGAGATCCAGACGAGGCCGGCCCTCCTTCCGCCGCGTAGGGCGCGCAAGGGTGGTGGCCACTGATGTCCCCGCTCGCTCACCAGCAGTCGCGGTGCGGGCACTTGCCCTGCATGAGGCGGCGGCAGAGGTGCAGCTGGTCGCAGGCCCGGCACTCCGAGCGCTGATAGCGGGCACAGAGGCGCGCCGCCGACACGGCCACCACCCTGCAGGCCACGCCCCCGCCGCCGCCGCGCTGGCCATCGTGGCGCCCGGGCTCCGCCGTGTCCCGCGGCGGGAGGCCCTCGGGCTCGGGCTCGGCCACGTCCTGAAGCAAGAAGCGCTCGGGCCCCGCTGCCCGCAGCACCGCGCGCAGCCGCGCCTCCGACAGCTCCACGTGCACGCGCAGGTCGCGCAGGAACATGCGGCCGCCGTGCGCGCACAGCACCTTGGTGAGGAAAGAGCAGAGCGTGGGCTCCGCCATGCCGCCGCCGCCGGTCTCAGCCCGCGCTGCTGCAGGCTCCTCCCCGCACGGCGCCGCCCGGGCCCGCCCGCCTGGCCACTGGGGGTCCCGCTCAGGGCGGAGACAGCGAGAGGCCACCACTACCCGCCACTCCAGACAGGAGGGATGAGGGACTCATGCACGGGATCCACTGAGCCATCCCCTAGGCAGCAGCAGGCACAGTGGAGCACCCCACATAGGGCCAGAGAGGTCCACTCCTATCCTGTTAGGTGGGGACGTGGGGGATGAGGACTACCCCACACTCATCAGGGGCAGTGGGGTTCCCCCAATCCTGAGAGTCTAGAGCCAGGGTTCCACCGAGGCCACCCAGCCAAGAGCACCTACTTGGCAAGGGGCCCCGTAGGATGAACGCCTGACTTGAGCGGTTCTGATGGTGTGAATCTGTTCGGCTGAGACCCTGATGTGGGCATGTAGCCTCCAGAACTACAGCCACTCACCCGTGGTATGTGAGCCACAGCAGCACCTGCCTGGCCCTGCTTGAGGCTGTGGCTCCCTGGCCAGGCAGCCCTGGGGCAGAAAAACCCCAAACTAAATAAGAAGGAAATCGTAAGACACAGAGAACTGCCCCACGGGATTCCAAGGCGGTCACCTTTATAGAAGCAGACCACTGCCTCTTTCTCAGATGAAACAGCAGCTTTTGAAAGTGCAGACCTCCGGGTTGGCAGCCCAGCGCTTTAGCCACTGTGCACCAGGCCGCATGGGAATGGACAGCTCACTCATACTTACTGTGGTAAGGTTAATTCTGACTCAAGGCCACCCTGTAAGGCAGGGTAGAACTGATCATGTGGGTTTCCAAGACCATGACCTTTAACTTAAGTAGAAAGCCTCATCTTTCTCCTGTGGAGAGGCTGGTGGTTTCCACCTTCCCATTTAAGGGCTCCTTGAATGGACAACACATCCTCTGACCCCCAACTGGGAGTCATCGTGTCTGAGACATCACGCTCGGTAACATTTTTGAAAGCTCACTGCCATTGAGTCCATGCCGACTTCTTCCAACCCTTTAGGACAGGGTAGACCTGTCCCTGTGGATTCTGGAGGCTGTAACTTTTTATGGGAGTAGAAAAGCCTCTTCTTTCTCCTGTGCAGTGGCTGCTGGTTTTGAATGGCTGACCTTGCGCCTAGCAGCTCAACTCATAGCCCACTTCACCACCCAGGGCATCAGTGAAAAAATGAGGAAGACCCTCAAAGAGATGGATGTGGACTCAAACATAGTCCAAATGCAAGGAAGGCACAAGACCGTGCTGTGTTTCCTTCTGCTGGACATAGGTCACTGGAGGTTGGAACCAATCCAAAGAATTTAACACACACACACACCCCACTCAATAAAACAGGTGCCTGTGGCTGGTCATCTTGTTGGGAGACACTTAGAACAAGAACAAATCGTGGGAGAATAACAAAATTGGGGTGGAATTCTTTTTATTATGCGATCTCAAATTAAGCTTGGGGAAGAACAAGAGGAAATTAAAGCACTGAAAGTAGTTGAGCCGAATCCACTCAACCTAATTTGTCAGACAGACGTGGCTGATAATCCCAAGAGATCAAGACTCTGCACTCCTGGGCTTCCATTCTAAAGCAGACAAAGCTATTGCAGATAAAAGCTACAAAGGAACAGAGCAAGGCACAGAATATTATTAAAAACCTGAAACTTGAAGGGGGGGGCGGGCAGGGAGGGGAAAAAATGAAGAGCTGATACCAAAGGCTAAAGTAGAAAACAAATGTTTTGAGAATGATGATGGCAACAAATGTACAAATGTGCTTCACACAATGGATGGATGGATTATGGTAAGAGTTGTAAGGGCCCCTAAATAAAATGATTTCCAAAGACCAAAAAACAAAAAACCCCTAAGCTTGAGAGGCAGCTAACCTAGAGGAGAGTAAATGGAAGTAAAACCCAAATCTATCAAGCCGGTGACCGTGGAATTGGATCCTTGGCACGTGGCGAGGCAACGCAGACAGTGCTGTATGGGTTCTTCGGCCCTTTCTGGAAGCAGATGGTCAGGTCCTTCTTCTTAGGTACCTCTGGGTGAACCACAACCTTGTCATTAGATCAGCATGTTAACCCACCGCCTGCACCACCCAGGGACTCCCGGTTGAAGTAAGAGCTGAGCTAACTAAGGATGCTAAAGGGTCTCTGGACCAGGTAACTGATCACTGCGTGACGCTGTTCACCAAGAGCACACTCACAGGGCCGCTGTGAGCTGGAATCAACGAGAGGGCAACTGCTTAATGTGCTGGACATTAACTAGATCAGTGGTTCTCAAGCAGCAGTCCTTTGGAAATTGATGGGGGGGGCGGGGAGGGTGAGTGCCTAGCCAGGGCGTCAGATGCGCTCCCATGTGTGGGCTGGTCCCATGCTTGGAAGACTTATTCTGTAACCTGTTCGTCTGTCTATTGTCCGCCAGGACATCTACGTAGGGCCTACAGCTCTTCTGAGAACACAGAATTCCTCACTATCATCTGTAAGGTGCGTTTGGCCTATTATCACTATTTCATTTACATTAACTTCGCTTTCTCCCCGACCTTCTGCAGGTAAGGTCAATGGTGTGCCCCAATTACTGCTTTGTGTCACCGTACCCCTCACCTTTCCATTTCCTGTATTTCTTTACAGGGCAGCCTCTTCTCGACTCTTGGATTCAACCTCATCATAAAAACTCCACGTAAACTCCTGGCTATTTCCTGCTGTTATAGAGCATGGTCAGACACATTGAGCGTTTTCGGATGGGAATGTAACTCACTGCCATTACACATTCCTTTCCTTCTACTTCTTTACTGCCATCGTTCTTGGGCACCAAGTTGATTTTTTAAATCCATGTATCTAAATAACTGCCAATGGATTAACTCAGGGGAGGAAAGGGATACTACGAAATATCACGTGCCCCTCCCCCCCCAAATAAAAGAGGAGAGGGGAAGGGAGGCTGACTGGTAGATCCGATAGGGTAGGTGGGCTTGGGGTTCTGCTGACATTTGCTGTGGAAGAACCGGTATTGGTTGCTGGACAGCCTGCAACAGGCTGGGTCATCTCGAACAGTAAAGACTAAATGTGTGGCCCGGGTGGGCTTGGAATGTCCCACTGGACATTCTTGTATGGCCCGTAGCTCGTCTGCAAGAACGAGGCTGTACCCGAGGGCTCCACTTCCGTGAGCGTTTTCATGCATATTATCTCTGTTTCGTGTAAGGTTGCTCCATCCATGTATCCTATAAAAGTATTATCACGTACAAATAAATTATAGTTTCACTAGTTTCTCAGTCTAAACATCCCATCACTTCGATTTTCCCAAACTGCACAGTGGGGCTCTGATTTCCAGCCTTCTTGGGAGCCTGCTCGGCCCCGAGGAACAGTGATCTGAACTTTGGGGACCCACTTGCACGTGGGAGGATGGTGTTCTTTTCCTCTGTGGCTCCTGCAGCGATCCTGGTGTTGGGAGATCCTGCATAAAACACTGTGTGCTGATTGTTGTCTTCAAGGAAATGGCCGTCTTTCTAGCTGGGAGGCAGGGGCAGGCACGGGCAGGTGAACAGAGCTGGTTCAAGAGCCGCTGTACTCATCACCTCATGACAGGTAACTCTAAGCACCTGGCTTCGTCACCCCATAGAGCTCCCTGGTCCAGTAACATGAATCTGAGTTCATTGCTCAGATTATGTGTAGCTAGAGTATATTCCCTAGGAATTATATTTCAGATAATACAGGGGACGTTACCAAGGTTTTGTCCTTAAAAAAAGGAAAGTGGGGATGGACAGCAGAGAAGAGGGCGGAGGGAAACATCAGACAGGGTAACTTCTGACAAAACTATGATAATTTATAAACTATGACGGGTTCATGAGGGTTGGGGGAGGGGGGAAATGAGCAACTAATAATAGGGGCTAGAGTGGGAGGCAAATGTTTTGAGAATGATGAGGACAGCAAGTGTGCATATGTGCTTGACACGATGTATGGATGTATGGATTGTGATGAGAATTGTACGAGCCCCCAATAAAATAATTTTTAAAAAGAAAAGAAAAGTGAGGGGGCAGGGGTGGGGAGAGGCAGGACTGCTAGTTGAGAATCACTGAGCTGGAAGAGAGAGGATCCCAGGAAAATCAAGGCGGGGGCAGGGGGTGGGGGGAAGTTCATGTAGAGTCCTGACCATGATTGGAAGCCTTATTCTTGGGGCGATAAAAACGACTATCCTTTCTACTAAACAGAGAACAGCCCCAAAGGGGAGAAGGAGGTGTGTAAGTGGCAAACCTGGACTTGAGGGTGGCATTTCAGGGATGAGGCTGGACTTGGTGGGGCAAGGGACACGCACCTGGGTTCCTGCTCGAGCGGGTGGGATTCCATTCACCCATAGACAGAACGCCAGAGGAGGCCGGGGCTAACTGAAGGGAGGCAGGAGAAGAGGTTGGATGCACACGGAGGCTGCAGCCATGAGCTCAGGCATGGGATGAGCCTGCTCAGGCAGGACTGAGCAGTGTCTCCTTCTGTTGTGCACAGAGGGTTGCTAGGGGTGGGAGTTGCCTCGATGGCACTTAACAACCACCACAACAGACGAAGAGGTTTGGAACCAGTCTCGCCTGAGCCGATTCATGGCAAGCCCACACGTGTGGACAACTGGGCCATCGTGGCTGGTTTTGGGGAAGCTGACCACACCTTTCTTCTGAGGCACCTCTGGATGGATTTGAACCAGCAACCGTTCAGCTGGTAGCTGAGCAAGTAAGCTGTGCCACCCGGAGTGAGACTGGGAGATACGCATGTGGAGACGTGCTGTAGGAATTTTAGTATATGTGCTGCCGAAGCGAGCACACGTGCTGTAGGAATTTGGGTAGAGCTGGACGCAAGTCATGCACAGCAGCAGGACAGCTGGGCAACCGATAGGGAACGTTGAAAAGGGAAAAGCTTATTGTTCTACGGAATAAAACATTGGTCCAAGTTCAAGAACCTGTCTGCGATCCCACACCGTCAATTATACACAGAAAGGGGGCCCTTTGCAGGCTGTTTGGCGGGGCGTGGATGCTCTCTGACCTAACTCTTGTGCTCACCAGGAAATAATTCCTGCTGACAGGAATCTAGTTACCGGTGCTCAGTTTCCTGCTTTTCTGGAGACACCTGGAGATACGGCAGTGGGCTTCCAAAAACCCAGCCACTCCGTGAAAGCCTGATCTGAAAGCATTCCTCTCTGTAGTCATAGTAAGTAGAAGATCAATATCTGTATTGTCATAATTGTGCAAAGACTCTAAAGGGCAGCGAACTCTAGCCGGTTGCTCCTCGCTGTGCCCTGCTTGGCAGCCTTGTATTGAGACTGAAAGAGCCAACCGAGAAGGAGTCTGCCCGTCAATAAACATCGAGATACATAAGTGTGTGCCCAGTAATGTGGTGTGTCTATAATCGCGTTTATGTCCCCTGGCTGGGCTGCGCAGGCCATATGGGGCAGTTCCCCACTGCCTCCTGGGCAAGTCTGGGAGAGCTCATGCACCGCTTCCAACAGGACATGTAGCATGTTCTCCAATGAGCTGCATCGTATTTAAACCTAAGCACACCAACACCGTTCGTCAAGGAAGAGAAGGGTTGCTGTAGCAACAGGCCGCCCCTAGGTGGGAAACGAGATATGCTCCTAAGTGGGTCTTGAAGTCGAGTGTGTAAGTAAACCCAATTGGAGGGACATGGTCTCACTTCAGAGAAAGAACAGGCCCAGGGCCCCCTCTAGTATTGAAGTCACCTCGCTGGCGATTTCACAGCAAGCGAAGATGCTTGTGATCTGAGACCGGTTGCAGGCCAGCATTGCTTCAATCGTTCAAAATAGGGAGAGCTACATGATTCAAAGGGCAAATACGAGTGGTCCGTCTCATCAGTAAGTTCGTAAGCCAGGAACATGGTCAGGTCACCCAAGAAATAAGGGAAGCACGGGCCGACCTTGTGCTTTCTTGCATCTATAATGAACAACTGCCCGTGTTTGCACCAAATCAAAGATCCAGTTTTCAGGTCTGGCTGAAGCCCACGGCACCTTCCCACAGAACCCAAGCCTCTTTTCAAATGGACAATTCCCAACAGGGACAGAGGGTCCAGTCAACACAGGATTAGGTGTGTTTACTCCCTCGCCTGCAAAACTACTAATCACTACAGGCAGCTTCACGTGTCTTTGATGGGGTGACAAACATGAGACACGGTTCACCACAGACTGGGTAAGTAAGCACAAGTGAGGCCGTGCTTACCTTGCCTGCAGGGTAAATCACTCCAGCCCAGGGACTTGTTGTAAAGAAAACTGAGACATGAGGCTTGCCCACTTGCATCTGAAGCAGGTGGTGCCCCAGCTTTGCAGGCCTGAGAATCACCTGGACGCTTTTTTTTTTTTTTTTTCACCTGGATGCTTTTAAAACCCACTGTTGCCCATTGGGTGTTTGGCTGGGCATCAGGGTTAAGAGATTAGCAGGTATTGGGGGTTGAACGTATCCCACCAAAAAGGTATGTTGGCGTCCTAACCCCAGGACCTCTGAATAAGACCCCGCTTGGAGATGGGGTCTTTGCAGATGTTATCAGTTAGGTTAGCATGGGGTCACACTGGAGCAGGGTGGGCCCTAATCCTATAAGGCTGGTGTCCTTATGAAAGAAGAAAAGATGCACAGAGACTGGGGAAAGAGCAAAAATGTCATGTGACACCCCAGCCACAAGACAAAGAAGGCCTGGCGCCACCAGGCGCCGGGAGTGAGGCAGGGAAGCGATTCCCTGGAATCCTCAGAACCAACACCCTCATCTTAGACTCAGCCCCTGGGAGAGGGTGGACTTGGGTTGTATCGAACCACTCGGTCGGTGGTACTAGGTGCCAGAAACGCCACCTAATGGACACACTGGGTGGTGCAGCCAGGCAGCCAGGTTTGGACAGAAGACATTAAGACAGAGGAGAGACATGTCCGAGTGCACAGATTATCCAGGACACCTGGTTCAAGAAGGGAACGGGAGCTCGTCCACAAAGCCGGGATCCTCATCCCGTCTAACTGATCACACAGGCTTTGTCTGTCTCGGAATAATCAATCACATACTGTGGGTAGATCTGATCTTTCTGAAAGATGACGAAAATGGAGGGATTCAACCTTGTGTCCACACAGCTGTCGTAGAGGGTCGATTCATAGCCTTTGGAAGGCGGTCTCGTGTATACTACTTTTCCTTCCGTGTAGTCGCCAACTAGGACCTGGGACACAAGCATCACTCTATTCTGGTTGTCCACAAGGCAGTTCTTGTGGGAGGAGATGGCTTCTTTGGTGAAGTAATTTCCTAGGAGTGATCAGAGGAAAGGGAAAAAAGAAACCAAACATTATTATGAAAGCACACCTCTAGTTCCTGAAACGTTCTACCCACCGTGCATCAGGTGATGGGTGTTTACTAAAGATATGTCAACATGACAGGCTGGCTGTTGGGTGCCAACGTGGACCAATCCCCTGCCGCCGCCACCCCCCACCCCCCAACAACAAGGTTTGCTATGCTCATGGAAGCAGCTGCCATGAAATCAAACCACTCATTCCATGAGATGAATCTGCCGCACAGGAGCTCTTTAAAGTGTGGAATAACAAGGATATGACTTTGAGGACCAAGGTGCGCCTGACCCAGGCCATGGAATTTCCAGTTGCCTCCTTGGTGAGCGAAAGTTGGACATTGAATAAGGAAGACCAGAGAAGAATCTATGCATTTGAATTATGGTGCACAGAAAGAAAAAAAACCTGAAAACACGCAAGACTTTGTCTCACATACGTTCGACATATCATCAGGAGAGACCAGCACCCAGAGAAAGATAAATTGGAGGAGCCGCTAACACAGAGGAAGATCCTGGACAAGAGGGATGGACTTAGAGGCGGCCATCACGGTTATAAGGATGGCGCAGGACCAGGGGGTGTTGAGTTCTGCTGTCCATGGACAGGGACTTACTGGATGGCATCGAACAATTAACAACAAGCTAAAGGGGAGCAGACGAGCCCACCTTTTTCTCCTCCAGAGCAACTGGGGTTCAAACTGCTGAGCTTTCCGTTAGCAGCCAAGCACTTAGCTATTGCTCCACCAGGGCTCCTCCTCACGGTGCCCTGAGTGATTCTTTCGAACCTTTCTGTACACAAGGTTCCCCATGATCCAAAAGTAGGGTGTCCCTATAAAACTCTTCATAGGCTGAAATGGTGTAAAGCAAAGAACCAATCACTACCGAGTGATTTGTCTGGGGAAAAGGTTTGGTGTGATCTTCAGGAACATTTGGCTTCCATGGGATACCAATGTTCTGGTTTGGTCATTTCCACCTTCTGTTTGGGTCCCAACGTGGAATGGGTACAAATATGGACCTCTTCCAATCGGTTGACCACGGTTACGGCCTTCCAAATTTCTCAGCATAGATGATAGACTGACATTTTGAGAGAACTCTCACCTGACCTACAGACTGGAAAATTGCCAGCCCCATAATCTAGTGAGACAATTCTTGGAAGTAAATCAATCTCTTTATTGATCGGTGATTTTATCTATATACAAATTTATAAATAAAAATATACACAAAGTCACATATATATATATATATATATAATGATAATTTTGTTTCTCTCAAAAATCCAAAGACAATAGCAAAACCCAAGACATGATGCTGGTTTAGGCACACACAAAAACAATTACAATTGAACCTTGAACAACCTAGGTCTGAACTGCGTGGGTGTACTTATATACTGAGTTTTTAAAAAAGCAGTGTGGAGGAGCTGATATCAAGGGCTCAAGTAGAAAGCAAATGTTTTGAGAATGATGATGGCGACGAATATACAAATGTGCTTGGCACTATGTATGGATTGTGATAAGAGTTGTACGAGCCCCCAATAAAATGATTTAATAAAAAAATTTAAAAAGATGTATCTCAATAGAGGAGGAATTTTGGGGTGGATAAGAGAACCTATGAGAAGCACTTGAACTGGGTACACATGCTTTGGATGGGAGAAGAAAGTTTAATTAGAATATTTTCCTAAAATATGACATTTCTACATTTGTTTTTAAAACAAATTTAAATTAAGATAAGATTTAAATTATTTAAATCATCAATAAATATGTATTTCGTGCCTACTGTGAAAAAAAAAGCAGTGAAGTGTGACTCTAATCACCTCCACGTGTCTCACCTGTCAATCGCACAGCTCAGTAAAAATCGATCTCTATTGAAGCAAGTGCTTCCCATCGTGTTTAGGGCAATACCTGGAGTAACGGCACGGGACGAAAAAGGTCGGAGTGCCCCTGGTGATGTTAGGAGTGTGCCCAACGAGCAGAGCAAAGTCTTGGCATTACAAGAAGAGGCTGAGTGGTCGTGAGATGTACCGTGGACGGAGGTCTGTACCTGTGACGGCTGCCATTTCAAGACACATGAGTCAGCGTGAGGACCGTGGGTGCACGTGAAGAAGAAAGTGATTGGGGGAAGCGTGCTGCAGGTCTGCCGAAGGGGCCAAAACCTTATCCTTTCTGATTTCCTCATGGAAAGGCGGAGTGCAATATGTAACACATACAACATCCAAAATATATGTGGGTCTACACTAACAACAGTGCGTACAAGGGAGAAGAAAGTGTTTTAAAATTGATTGTGGTGATGATGGTACCCCTCTTCTGATATGACTGAACTATTGAATTGTATGATATGTGCATGAAATACTGGTAAAAGTGTTTCAAAATGTGTGTGTGTGTGTACTGACTGTCAGTAGCATAAAAAATATCTGCCAATTAACTGTCTGTTAGTTATCATTAACATGTCCATCAGCAATAGGGTTTTAATAGTTATGTTCTGAAGGACTTAAAAGCTACAGGTGGATTTTCACCTGCTTGTGGAGTGAAGGGTGGGGCGGTACCTCCCACCACTAGTGATTCAGGGTCCACGGTTGTTAGGTGCCATTGGGTCAGTCCTGGCTCATCGCGGCCTTATGCCCAACAGAATGAACATTGCCTGATAGTCGATGTATGTCAACAGTACATGCCTCTAACAAGAAAAACACATAAGGCTTATGACTCTACGGATCAAGCTTCTCCATTTCAGCACAAACCTTTTCCATATTTTGCTTCACATGTTCCATGCAAGGACCAGTCAAAATTGTGCTGGCAAATAGACTCCACATAGCGGCGGTCCGTCGCATGAAACAGGGTTTTTTCATTGGCGTTCCTCATAAAGACTTTCTTCCTGAGATCAGAAAGGAGAGACTCAGTCGGCAGAGGGCTGCTGACCCACTCTGGCTAAGAGCATGCACCCCCGCTAGAAACCCCGCCGTGGTCTCATGTTACTGTAACGCCAGGCAGAGAGGAGTTACAAACAGGTAAGAGGCAGAGAAAGTCTGCTCAGAAAAGGACGGACTCATAGCCCGACACCATGAGAAGCCGCACTAGAGATGGAAGGCTGGGCTGAGCCCAGGAGTGTCGATCTAGAGAGAGGGAGGGTAGCCAGCTCGCTCCTGGGCACCAACCTCTGGAAGGCAGTCAGGAGCGCTGGGTTATGAATCCTCTGAATCTTCTCAATCTTGAAGTTCTTCATGGAAGCTTTGAAACTCGCACTTATCACAATATATTCCGGATGTTGGTCGCTGATAGGCGACAACTGAAACATAAAAAACATGGAGTTGGCTTTCTTGGGAATGCGAGGAAGGAAAGAAGCAGTTGGCTCGGGGTGGGTGGGGTGGTGTTCTGACAGCCGGCCAGCTGTTCAGAACAATGTCAGGCCAACACACGCTGCGGCCATGGAAGGAAGAAAGAGGCCTGACTCCATGCCGGAGTCCATTGACCTACAGCAAGTCCGAATGCTCCTGGACTAGGGCCGCACCAGAGGTGCCCGCAAGCCCGAGCTGAGCTGTCTCCACCCATGGACAATCGGGTGGAGGAGACATCCTAGGGGAAAAAATCACCCCCAGTAAGGTGGGTGGGGCACCATTTGTCTGGCTCCCACAGAAGTCTCCTCTTTCGCGGCAGCTGATGGACAAAGCATTTCCTCTCAGCTCCAGTGGAATAGAGTGAGTCAAAAAGTATTGCTACTGTGGTTCCAGCTCTGACCTGCATGGACTTATTCCAAAGAAGTCATGTGAACACATGTCCCTGTGGTCAGTGGATGGTTAGAGGCAAATTCTCTTAGCGACACACTTGTCCGCCTCCTTAGAATGCCCTAAAAGAGGATGGTGTGTGTGTGTGTGTGTGTGTGTGTGTGTGTGTCTCAAAACAGTGGCTCCAAGGGACTCCACTGGGCCAGTTCAACTGAAGGCAGAAAGGTCAACTCAGAAGGTTCTGGAGACTGCTAGAGGGGCTGCTAAAGAGGTCATCGTCATGGAGAATCTCGAAGCACACAAGACAACCATGGATGCTTATTAGGAAGACTTTTGTTTTCGTTGTATCAGGTAGGAGACATTTAAAAGAAAATGGAAAATTGCATCTGTGAGAAGAAACTCTGGCGGGGTACTGGGTTACAAGTTGGGCTGCTAACCACAACATCAGCAGTTCAAAACCAGCAGCAGCTCCGCAGGAAAAAGAGGAGGCTTTCTGTTCCCCTAAAGATTTAGCACCTCAAAAAAAAAAAGATTTAGCGCGTCAGAACCCCACAGAGGCAGTCCTACTTTTCTCTGTGGGGTTGCCAGGAGTCAGGATCCGCTTGGTGGCAGTGAGGGGTGAGGGCAGGCAGGAAGTTAAGCCGAGGGCTCATTCCCCACAATGGCCATGCGCCTGGCTCCCTCTGCAAGGGGGAAGGACTGTCTTACGAGGATCTCGTTGGGCAACTTTGCCCCATCGCCTACAGCCCTGACCTTGCCCCTCAGGCTTCCTTTGGTTCTGAAAACACACACAAAAACACATTTAAAAGGACCTGAATGAGGCCCTCGGAGAGGCCCTGGTGGCCGTTTTGATGCGATGTAAATCAAGGCGCCCAGGACTCTGGGGAAGGATTAGAAAGATGGAAACACCACAGTCAAAAGTGTATAGACAACAACAACAACAATAACAAAAAGTAAGTATCCTGGGAACAGGATATGCGGATAAACAATTGCTTCCTATTTGAGCATTTTTGTTTCATAAAAGGGCTATTTGGTTTGGCAGCAAGACTTTTTGACTCACTCATAGTGACCCGTATATAATAGAAATACTAATTCCATTTATATGAAAAATCCAAATTAGCTAAATCCTTGGAGAACAAAAAATGATTAGTGGTTGCCAGGGATTTGGGGTTAGGGGTAGCTGTTTGGGTGGGAAGCAGGGATGAAGCTTCATGGTTAAATGGGGAAGGGGGTGTCCTGTAAAGTGGATGGAAAACCATTTGGAAGTCGATCGAGACAGCTGAACAACACTGCGAGATGAATCAGCGCCACGGAACTATCAACTTTAAAATGATGTGGGTTTTGCTGTAGGACCGCTCACATCAATGTTTTTTTTTAAAAAAGGAACAGGTTAAAAAACAGAGGGATGCCCCTGCTTATGAAAGTTTGCTTTCTGCCACCTCGCCTTATAAAAGACCCACAAGAGTCCCAGTGTCGCTAACGGGAAGAAATCTGCCAAGGGATTTCCGCTCCGATGGGGAGAAAAATAACGACGGCAAGCCTTTTAAGAGTCCAAGCAGTTTGCTTTGCGCCCTTTTGGGTTATGGGAGGTTCCTTGGCCACGCTCTCCCTTTGCACAGTGGGGGAGACCTGTCTTCCCATCTCCCTCCTGGGATCGGGACATCACCGTGTGGCGCTGAGCTCTGTGGGCTGCCTCGGGGCTGGCTGTCCCTGAAGGAGAGGAGTGATGGCGTTACCAGTGGGACTCCTTCCTGGAAGAGCTTTGGAAGCAACACATTCATAGGAACAAGCCAATGTTTACTCTGGTACCAAAGTTTCTTTCCCCACCTTCCAAGGATTCCCCATGAAAGTGCAACCCGGCCCTTACCGTATATGCACTGGGGCGCTGGGGTCGGTCCTGCTGAGAAGCGTTTGGGGTGGGCAGGGACAGTGCCGGCTGACAGCTACAGGCAAAAAAGAGTGAAGGGTGACATGAATCCCTGCTCATGGGCCCAAGAGACTTCTTGCCTCAACCTCCAGCCTCTCAATGTGGAACAAGATAGGATGTTTCTTTCCATACATTCCTCTGGGCTGACACCCCGACATCTCCTGGTAGAGATGCACTGGTCACTGTGCTTAACACTGCCTCCACTAACCATCTCAGATGCATCTACTGGTCTCTCCCAAGAAAATCAAACACTCAACGAAGCAATTTGTCCAACGGGCTAAACGACCACAGGAACCATAGCTTCCACTAACCTGAAACCAGTAACTAGGAGGTGTTGGACAACCCTACTGACTCCCCTGAAAGTGGCCACAAAAGGTGCTAGACAAAACGGGGGAAAGATGAAGATCATTTCAAAATTATAAATAAGACCAGGCTCACTGGTCTTGCAAAGACTGGCGGAACCGGAGACACCCTTCACACCTGGAACTCAGCCTACCTCCATGCCTCCACTGTCAGCCCCACCACAGCCAGGCCTCTCGAGGGAGCATCACCACCTGTAAAGAACGAGTCCACCCCCCTCCCCACCCTGCTCGGCCGACCTGAGGAAAGGAGGGCAAATGGAAAAGGGGTACCCAGAGAGGAAGAGAAAGAATGCTGTCACCGGAGGGGAGTACGATGTCAGAGAACAAAAGTGCGTACGCAGCGTTGAATGGGAAACTAATTTCCTCAGCAAACATTCACCCAAGCAATAACTTAAATTTAAAAATACACTTGCCAGTCAGGTTTTTATGGGAGGGGTGGCGCTGGAGCGGGCTACGCAGATGCTGGCTTCCCGCGCACAGCACGAGGAGGGCGAGGTTCCTGGACAAGGGGAGGAGCAGATGGAAGACTGTGGGGCAGCACTGACAGCTAGACACCGTGGAGACAGGTGGCGGGCTGATGTCATGAGAGGCCTTCAATGCCACACACCACAATCTTCTCTTGGTAATAGAGGTGTACGAGCCGCCCAGCTCGGCACTAGGAGAACCTGTTTTATATGTGTATCTACCTTCTCATCAGCATTTGGGTAATAGTTTTCAGTAATATTGGGTTTTTTCTATCAAACTCTTGGTGCACATTTTGATTCGTGATGTTGGTTGCATTCCCCACAACGTAACAGCGCTCTCCCCTCGTCCTCCTGGGGTCCCCATTTCCACTCATGGTATGCCAGTTGGCCTTGATGCCCCCTGAAGCGAGGGTCCCGAGCTGCCAGGTACAGCAGCTCATTCCCTCTCGGTGTTTCTTTCAATGTTGACCCATGGCAACTCTACAGGACAGGGTAGAACTGCCCCTGTGAGTCTCTGAGACTGTAACTCTTTACAGGAGTAGAAAGCCCTGTCCCCCCACACCAACCCACTCCTGCTCCCCAGCAGCTGGTGATGTCGAACTGCTGACCTTGCGGTTAGGAGCCCAATGTGATAAGGAATCCCTGACACACTGGATGAAATCTGCCCTCTGGAGAGGAAATCAAGTCCAGTCTGGAGTAGAGACAGACAGGGATTGGGGGGAATTGCTGCCAAGTGAAAACCAAAGGCCTTACCTTTTTTCCTGTTTTTTTCATTGCAACTTTCTGTTGTCTTTTTAAAATGGAATAAGCATTGTAGACATGGCATGGGGTTGGCAATCTTTAATTAAATAAATAAGATGTAGCTTTGTCGCTTTAACTAAATATAGCAGAATTATTTTGAGCACGAAGGAGTGAGACCAGTAAACCCATTGCCAACGCACCAACTCGATGCATGGTGCTCCCTGTGGCAGAGTAGAACCATGTTCCAAGAGGTTGATTGGCTCGTGAACATTTTATTGTGCTTGAGATGGAAGTGAATATGACCACATTACTCTCCCCTTCAGGAGTTCAGAAGCCATGGTGGCATAGTGGAATCCGTGTTGGACTGGTAACTACATAGCCAGCAGTTTGAAACCACCACCCTCCCCTACGGAGAAGACGAGGCTTTCTACTCCTATAGAGAGTTGCAGTCTTTAAAACTCACAGGAGCAATTCTACCCTGCCCTATAGGGTTGCTATCAGTCAGAATTGACTCAGTGGCACCTAGCTTTGGTCTGTTGGTTTTAAGTAGTTCAGTAGTCTTGGTGGTGTTGTGTTGGGCTGTAAACTACAAGGTCAGTAGTTCAAAACCACCAGCAGCCTCTTGGGAGAAAGATGCGACTTTCTACTCCAGTAAAGAGTTACATACAGCCTTGGAAACTCACAGAGTCATTTCTACCCCTGTCCTATAGGGCTGCTATGCGTTGGACCCGATTTGATGACATTGAATTTGGTTTTGGGAATTTTCAGTACGCAACGCTCCCATGACCCTGTTTGTGACCCCTGCAGGGTGCAACCCTTCCACTGTTTCCATTTGTCTGATGCCCCTGCCCTCTGGTGTTTGTTTTTGGACGCACCTTCCTCACAGGTGTTACCGTTCACATTACAGGCGAATCTGCTTTGGTTGCCAGGTGACTTCTGGGTGTGGCTTCAGTTCGGCATTAGAAGTGTGACGGAGGGCAAGTGTCCTTTACGCTCCATCAGACCCGCATGCCTGGGTTGGTTGGTTGGGCTTTGATGAGCGCGTCATGGAACTACCTCGCAAGCCTTACAAGTCAGCAAATGATGAACACAAGAACCTCTGTTTTGACAGAGAAATAGAAAGCACTAGAAAACCCAGGCTGAATGCTGAGCCATGGCCAAGGACCAACAGATGTTCTAAAGAGCCACCCCAGAAAGTCTGGGGAACCCCCGATGAGAGCTGACCGAATGCTGCGGCATTTCCAGAATGCAAAGGGCCTGCGAACCTGCCTGTGTCAACCCGGGTAGAGACCCTGACTTTTCACAGAGCTCGGATCCAAGGAGCCGTCAAGCCCTGCTCTCTCCAGCTCTACCCGGGTGAGCACACTGATGAAGTCAAGCTTACTGGGCCTAGGAGGCTGAAATAATATGTGGCATGTGCTGTTATTAGGGCCTTATACTTGCCCTTACATGCTGGCATTTGGTCGTTTGAATTAACTTTAAGATTGTGAGATTGTTTGATGTGTTTGCAGTGAATAAACCGAGCATTTGAAAATGTCAAAGAGCATTAAGTATTGATCGCACTGTTTGTGACACTTTTTGAGTTCTGTTCTACAATCTTCTCCCATTCTAACCTGGAGGTTCAATTGCATTGTGGGTGAGGGCAGGCGGCAGTGGTGGCTGGGCACATTCTAGTCCCTTGGCCCCGGTGGTGTAGGCTTTGGTGCACATGGTCCACTGGTCCTTGAGACTAATGCTCGATCCCCGGAGTCTGGTTCCTTCCCTCTCCTTTGGTCCAGACGGGAAGAGACCACAGCTGTTATCTTTAGGAGGCTACTCCTATCATTGAAGGTCACAGCAGCCACTCCACAAACTAGGCTGCAGAACATCACCGTTATGCTCGCCCGGGGAATTTAATGTCTGAGTATTCAGTATGAGAGTGCCTGAGCTTTCTTCTGAGGCTCCTTTGGGTGGACTTGACCTCCCAGCCTCTCAGCGGTCAAGTGCTTAACAGCCTTCGCCACCCCAGGACTCAACGAAGCAGCACTGACACTCTCTTTCATTAGCTGACTGCAAATAGCACCTACTTCTTGCCGAGCTGTTTCCCCATGGACATGTGTCGCCAACTGAAACGGTGACTTCCACTGTCACATCCATAGGAGTGTAAGTAGCCGGCCAACACAAACGAGTCTCTCCCACCACTGAACCCTGCACCACCTTCACTTTATTAATTGGAACACTCAAGGAACTGGGAGAATCATAGCTACCTAGGCTGATCAGAGTCTAATTCTTGGGAATACAAATGAAGGGCTTCAGAGCAAATGAGGCCATGGGAGGAGGTGAGGCTCGAGGGAAATGCAGATTGGATTTCTGAGGTTGAAGGTTAGGCAGGGACCAAGCAACAGTACTACCTGATGTACACCTAACAGAAAAAAAGGAACACAGCACAGCACAAACAGACACACATACACACACCCATGTTCACCCCCCATTATTCACTGTAGCAAGAAGCTAGGAACCACCCAAGTGGCCATGGGGGGAGAAGAGATGAATAAAGTTAGGTGTCATACAGACCTCTGTGGAATGCCACTCAAGGATACTAAAGGATAATGGTGGGGCTGTGAGAACACCTCATGACGTGGATGGATGAACCTGGAGGACATTACAGCAGGGAAGTGAGTCCATCACAACAGGACAAGCATCGTACGGGACCACTGTTATTCACACACACACACACACACACACACACACACAGAAGGTCTTTAGCCCAAGAGGAACAGAGCTCGATGGTTACCAGGGCTGGGAGTTGGGGAGCAATAGGCGAGAAAGAGGAGAATACCCTCCCAGAGGGAGGAGGGAGATGGCGGTGGGGGGGAGGGCAGGGGGGGTTGAGAGTTATAAGGGAAGCCATCTCAAAGACTGATAAGTTGCTCATATTGTTGAAGGCAAAAATGATGACCTAAATAGAAAAATCAGCACCCTGACTCCTAATAAAACGTCTTTTGGGAAAAATAGTCATGCAAACCCCAAGGTGACCTAACAAAACCCTCTAACTTGAAACCCTAGATGCTCTCAAAAGCCACCTCTTGGCCAAATGACAGGGTGCAACATAAACAAAGCACCCTTAATAACAGTGCTCCTTGGGACAGTCAACAGTAAGAGCTCAACGGGCGCATTTACCCAAAGCCAAGATGAAGGGGGGCGGGGGCGGGGCGGGGGGCGAGGAAACAAACAAAGGAAAAGCCAGAGGAAGGCAGAGAGCCCACTGACACATGGGCAACCACTGTCAGAACAATCTGCAAGAGGTTGCTTGGCTGAAGACAGATCGGCCATGCCGACTTTCCCCTAAAGTACAATGAAATACTCAAAACTGAACCACAGCCAAGCATTAGCTAGAGGCCAGAACCCACTGGATCTGTAGGGTTCACAGTAAGCAAATCTGTTGCCTCTAAAGCAAAGGTAGCCCCTTGAGGACGACTGTGCCCCCGACACAGGCCCCAGGGTTTTGCATCGCCGAATATGCATAGGAAAGGTGGACGATGAGCCAGGAAGACCAGAGACACACTGAAGCATCTGACCAACGGTTTGTGGGAAGAAGATGGAATGAAATGGGCCATGGACTGCCAGGCGAATAGACAAATCTATCTGGGATTGCTAGAATAGAATGCTGGTTAGATTGGAAGATGGCGAGACTGGCATCCCACATACTCTCAATGTATTATCAGAAGGAGCTAGCACCTAGAAAGGGACATCATGCTTGGTAAAGCAGAGGGGTCAGCGGTCCAGAGGTAGCCATTCAACGGGAGGGAGACACAGTGGCGGCAGCCGTGGGTTCAAGCACAAGGTAGCAGTGACTGTGTGGACGGTGCAGGGGTGGGCACCGCGTCATTCTGTTGTACCTACGGTCACTGTGAGAGTTAGAACGGCAAACAACTAGGCTGGGCATAGAGTCTGTTAATAGCGGGGCTAGAACGGCAAACAACTAGGCTGGGCATAGAGTCTGTTAATAGCGGGGCTAGAACGGCAAACAACTAGGCTGGGCATAGAGTCTGTTAATAGCGGGGCTAGAACGGCAAACAACTAGGCTGGGCATAGAGTCTGTTAATAGCGGGGCTGGGGCGTGATCATAAGAGCAGCTGCAAACACACGTGGAGCACTCGAGTGCACGTCCCACTGCCCCATCCCGTCTCGCGGGTGCCCACCGCAGTTGCTGTGTCCAAACCCACTCCACTACTGCAGGCTTGCGTGTAGTTGTGATGCTGAACTGGTTTCACACCAGGATTAGGAAGAAAGGCCTGGTAACCAACTTACTAACATCAGCCGGTGAAGCCCTGTGAACTCCCATGTTGGGCTCGGCAAGCGGGCATGGGGGTGGCACCGGACGGGGCAGTGTGTCATTTCACTGTACATGGGGTCACCATAAGGGGGGGCTGGGAGATCCAACGACTGCAACAAGGGGCAGAGCACACGGTCACCTCAGGTGGCGTGGCTCCTACGGCAGAAGCTAAAGCACCCCCATTCCCATGACACCCCGCCCCCCAATCAAGCTCAGTTCTTACTCTTGGGTTCTTGTAGGAGGTCATTTCTCTTCAGCGTCCACTCTGTCTCAAGGACACACGTTGAATTTTTACAACCAAGGATGCCTCCTTAGGACACCTTGCTTGCGCATAATCACATTTCACTCAGAAATCGAAAAATCCAACTCAAACATGTTGATGCACAAGGTAGCATTTACTGACGGTTTCATAAGCCCAGCGAGGGGAGGCCTCTATGAACCACCAGCCCCACAGCAAAACACCCTATGCAAGCACCCTATAGCCAGCTCTACCTTTTCAGAGCCCACGCCCAAACCCAAGCCCAGCACCAGCCTCTTCCTTTCTCTCTCCAGCACGCGCCTTGTCCCCCTGCCACATGCCCCGCCCTCTCTAAACCCACCCATCGAAACGGAGGCACTGAGAACCCCAGCCAGGAACAAAAGCCAGCCAGGGGCACACAAGGGATCCTCAGCCCCAGCACAAGGCGCGTGACAATGGGCATCTCGAGCGTCAGTCAGGACACTTACTTTCGTCTTATTTTGAGCAACTCCAGGTCAGAGGAAGATAGAAATTTGGGCCTTCGCAGGACATGCTTCTGAGTCCTGGAAAGTACGTTTGTCTGAATCATCGCTGTAGACAGGAAGAAAAGGCAAATACACCAGAGTCACGAGTTCATCGCAGTAAACAACGCCTCGTTCTAAGGGTCGGCGGAAGCTTCTGCGGAGCTAGACGAGAAGCTGCAGGTTGCTCAAAGGCATGGACCTCAAGGCTAAATACGGGGGAGCCTCAGCGAGGTCGGGGACAAAGGGCATGGAGAGGTCATGGGATTTCCCCACAAACCTTCTGAAGTGCCTTGGTAGGTGAGACAAGGCTGTACCTGTTTTTTAGAGAGAAGAATAAGACTTCATTCACGAGCTTCATGCCTGGTGAGTTCTTTCCTTAGGAACTGTCCTCAGAGTGAAAAACTGGCAGCGTAACATGTATTGCCGGGTAGCATTCTAAAATTATTGGGGGATGTTTTGTTTTTGTTTTTTAAGCTATGTTACTTAAATCCCTCTCAGATCTTGAGTTTTACAAAAAAGGACCTTTGCTGACAAGTTGACGTGACTCCCGGTGACTCGTGTGTGGAGAGTAGGATTTTGCCCATGGAATTTTCCATGGCTGGCTTTTTGGAAGGAGACCACCAGGCTCCTCTTCTGAGGGACCCACGGGGTGGCTCAAAGCTCCAACTTTCTGATCAATGGCCGAGTGCATTAATTTTAGATGCCACCTCAAAACGGCAAGGATGCAAGACAATCCTCGTCTACACTCCTATCAAGGGTCTGCAGGGTGTCCTGGGAGGATGTGCACCTGACCACCTATAGGGAGGGCCAGGGGTGGGGTGGGGGGTGGGGGGGGTGGAGACCAGGGAGAAGGTCAGTGGACTAGATGCTGACTAGACTCCCTGGGCCTGTCCCGATGGCTCAGATGAACCAGGTAGGAGGCAGGGGTGCTAATCAAGAGATGGAAGAAACCAAAAGACGGGGCCAAAGGAGAAGAGCCAAGTTCCTGTAACTCTGAAGGTTGCCCAATGGCCTGAGGTCCCTGTGGTGGGTGGCCAGCAGCTCCTGAAAATTCTGCCTCCACTTTGGGACAGAACACAGGGCCCACCCCACAGAGGAAAAGCCCGAGGGACAGGGAGGCCGGGCAACGCTCCCATAGGGAAAAGCAGGTGTCCAGCAGGCACTGGCATCTACCGGGTTGTGTGCCTTGCTACAAGGTTGGAGGAGGTGGTGGCAACGCATCCTGACCTGGGCCCCTGTGTGCCTGCTAATGCTCCCTCCTCACTTCTATCCCCTCACCAGACCCAAACAACAACCCCCTCACCACCAGACACACACACTCACCTTGGAAACTCAGTTCATATGCCTCAAAGCCCGCCTTAAAGGGCACAATTCCCTTTGGGTACGCAAGAAACATGTCCTCGATGTACGAAGAGCTGATGTTCGAAATTCCCTGGTTACTCGACTAATAAAAAAAACAATAATATTTATTATTATTTAATAAAAAGTTGTCAGAGCAGGCTTTTCAGAAATCCAGTCTTTTGGACATCATCTTAAAAAGTTTCGGCACAACGACATTTTCATTCAGGCATGGAATCTGAACAAGAGGCTGTCCTGTCCACCAAACCAGACATTCAGCACTAAACCAGACTAAGAGCCCATGCCGGGCCAGTTGGTGCCCAGAGATGGGGCAGTCTGCAGGGCCAGAGCTGACTTGGGGCTCAATGCTGTTGGGAAAATAAGGCTCGTTGTGGTACTTCTGTCACTCTCCACACGGGGCAGAGTGACCTGCATGTCCCTCTGGGATGGGCGTCTACACTGGCCACAGAGCAGAACCCAGTGCTCTGCTCTTGCACAGAATGCTCCGAATGAGGGCCCAGCCCGGCTCGCCAGATTTTACCAACCCCCCAAACTCACTGCCATCGAGTCAATGCCAACTCAGTGACCCTATAGGACAAGGTGGAACCGCTCCGGCGGATCTCCAAGACTGTTGTAACTCTACAGGAGTAGAAAATCTCACCTTTCTCTCGTAGTGTGGCTGGTGGATTTGAACTCCTGACCTTGCGGTTAGAAGCCCAACACTTAAACCACTACACTACCAGGGCTCCTTAATGACCACAGGAATGATTACTTTGTAACTTCTTCATCCACAAAACACTTTGACTGAAAGTCTCCTTGGCTTGATAGGAGGAGCCGTCGTTCTCAGCGCCCCAGGAGTATCCCCAGCTGCAGCCCACAGAGGAAGGAAGTGTGCTGAGAGACAGGCAGGGCTTTGAGCCCCATGGCCACTGTCGCAGGGCAGCTCTGCCAGCCTCAACAATGATGCCCCGGGAATGGCTGTCTCTGCAGCTACCACAGGCTGCAGACCATGGGCTTAATGGATCGGCAGGACTGTGGGGAGGATCATCATCCACCTACAGGAAAGCCCTTCTTTTCCTAAGAGACCGGGCGGTTTGACCAGAGAGGCACAGTGAGTTCGGAACCAGGTGGGCTCTCTCTGCATTGGCAGCTCAGCAGGTCAGAGTCAGAATGGCCCTGCATGGGCCGGGCTCTCTGTGGAAAGTGGAGCTCTGGGGAGAAGGCGGGTCTGTGTGGAAGGTGGGCCCTATGTGGAAGGAAGGCAGGGCTGTGTGGAAGGGAGGTCTCTGGGTTGCTTTTAACTATTTTGGGCTTCATCTACCCCTCCCTCTACTCCCTGCTTCATTTTAATATCCTTTTATTTCTTTCTCTTCACTCTAGTTTCATCACATTTTTAAGATGCCTTTGTCTCTTTTTCTATCAACCGGGGATTAAAAACAAACAACATATCAATTGCTGATAAGTTGGCCCGGACTGCGGGCAGCTGCAGAGTATCAGAGTGGACCTGATCCTCAGGCTTTCAGGGGCTGAATTGTCGAAAACAGCCGGGCCTTCTGCTGAGGCAGCGGTTCTCCACCTTCCTCATGCCACCACCCTTTCATGCAGTTCCTTGTGTGGTGGTGAACCCCCAACCCTACAATTATATTCGTTGCTACTTCATCACTTTCATTTTGCAACTTAGATAACTCAGGCGACCTCTGTGAAAAGGTCGTTCGACCCCCAAAGGGGTTGAGACCCACAGGTTGAAAACCGCTAGTCTAAGGCATCTCCAGATGGTCTCGTAACTTCACCATCTCAGTGGGCAGCCACGGGTGTTAATCGTGTGTACCCACCCAACAGCCACCACAATGGACTCCGGCACACCGACCGTCATGATGCGGGCAACATGGTAGCCTGACTGACTTAATGTCACCATGAGACAGAGGCAGCCCAAGGACCACGAGCGGTAACCCCATGAAGGGAAGAAGGGCACAGAGCCACCACTACTCAACCGACTCCTACCTCTGCTTGCCATGGGCCCTCCCTGGAACCCCTGGCATCAGGGGTAGCGAGAAGGGGCAGGAGACTGGCTCATGCATCTGAGTGTATAAGAGGAAGTCAGAGAGTGCATGGAAACGGGAAATGAGAAGATAACGGGCTTTTCCCATGAACTTTTCCAAGCTCCCTCCTCTGGGCTTCATGGGGGGTGGGGTGAGAGAGCGAGCGAGCATGTGTGCTTGTCTGTGCGTGGTTCCGGGTAGGAAGTGGCAGATCCCATCAGTTGCCCACTCAAGTGTGCTCACGTTTTTCCCTATGGCCTTGGTTGCAATCGATCCCTTCAACAGTGTTCTTCTCACACCCTCCTGTGATTTTGCCGCTTCCATTCGCCCTTCCCCCTCCCCTCGGGCCAGTCCTGCCTGGTTGAGGCAGCTCCTTGAGCAGGCCGGGTTAGACAAGCTCCCCTAGCGGGGGCAGCAGGGCTCACCTTTTCTCCATATTTAACCCAAATGTCAGATCTGCTTCTCCAGTACCAAACCCACTGGGTGGCAAAGACCAGCGAGGTCAACTTGGTGCCGGACGATGGGGTGGAGAGGCGTCGAAGGAGTTTGGAATTACACGTCATCGTCTGGAAATCGATGTGATAATCCATAACAGAAAAGCTGAGAGAGAAACAGGCACAGTTACCAAAATGCCCCGCTGCCTTTCTGGTCTCCAAGATCCGAGCTCTCCACTCTAGGGCGCCAAGTTAAAACCGGAGCTGCCGGAGCCTTCCTAACATTTCCCACAGTTCCAGAGGGTAGTCAAGAAAGAGAAGGGGAAATGTAGTGAGGTCATGTGCCCAACCACATAGTCAGTGACATCAGAAAGTGTCTGGATCCGTAAAACTTCACCCAGTAACATTAAGTCAGATGCGACTCATTGGGAGCCAACAGGACAGGGTGGACCAGCCGCCGTGGGTTTCCATGGCTACAAGGCTTTCCGTGAATAGAAAGCCTTGTCTTAGGCTGGGGCAAACCAATGGGCGCCCCAAAAGAGTGGAAGGGGAAGCTTTCCAGAAATCCAAACCAAGACCAGAAGAGGGGACCACCTACATTGTGTAGGAGCTGCTGATAGTTCTGTTGGTGCGTGTGTGGGGTGATTGGGGGGAATGAGAACTCACCACACAGCCAGCGGGAAGGGATGCTAAACAATGAGTGGAGGGAACCTAGGGGGACAATGGGCCAGATTTTATACACCTGGGTAGACACTACAAATTCATTTCTACCCAACCTTCAGCGAACCACACTGTGGACTAAGCACCAGGATGATCAACACAGGGGCTACCCCAGAAGGACTTAACATAGAGGCCACGCTAATGAAAAGGACCCCGCCTTGAAGCTGCCTGCACCCTTGGACTGAGGACTGGGGTGCTTGGATGGGAGAGGAAGCAGAGAGTGGCCACCCCAGGATTGTGGAAGTGGCGGTTGTTGGACCTTGGGGGTAACCCCTGGCTCAGTAGGTGTCCGGTGGAAGGGGACCAAGGATCCCCATATAGTGCCTCAAAGCCCACCCTTCAGTGACACAACAGGTTGGTCTGGGATCTACACTTGGAGGTGTTGGCTTGGGTCAACCCAAGACCCCCCGCTAGGGTCAACCCCCATACTGAGGGCCAACAGAGCCCCATCAATGAGAGATCGAACTGTGCAGGACAAAAACCCATGAGCTGGGACACAAGGGGGAGCTGTGCTAGCACAGACTCCTCACGCCGACAGGGTCTGGAGAGCAGGGTCATTGAGAAGGTGGATAGTGAAAATAGTGCAACTGACTTATACCCCAGGGGTGATGGACAGTGCCGTACTGCTTTGTGTAGGCTTTTCTGCTTTCCTGGCTGTAGCTTGCTTTTATTGTTTGTTTGTTCTTTTTCCTTTCCGGATGTGTCTGTTCGGTTTGTTTGGCTGCTATTGATGCAGTCGATCTTACAAGGTTGTGATTTTGTCTTAGTAAGACCGCCAAAGTAAACCTGAGACGTGCAAACCCCACAGACAAGCAGATGGAGTCTGGGCCCCTACTTAACTCTAGCCTCAATCCAAGAACATGAACTCTGATCACATGGCCCTGCTTGATACCTTCATGAAATGATCACTGAAGATAAGGTGCTACAGCACAGTGTGGTGAAGAAACTAGACAGTACCCGGCTGAGTTAGTTAGCTTATTGTGCCAACCTGGCCAATAAACACATGTGGGGTTAATTGAAGGGCGGAGGGCTAAATGGCTCAGTGAGCCTCGCCTTTCTAGTTCTTGGGTCTCTTGCTTTCTGATGGTCGGACCAGGGTGCAGCTGCCGTAGCAAGTTCCCTGCTTCAACTGGCAAAGCTCACTTTCTGCAAGACATCCCTGAGGAGAAGCCGCATGGACCTACCCCAACGCAGCCCTGGGTGCTGGAGCAGCCGTGTGAAGACCCCTGCCAGTGCTGAGATGTTTACACATTCAATGACTCATTCAATGTCCCTGCACTCGGCATCTTTGCTTCTGTTTTGTGAGATGGAGGAGGACTTTGTGGATTGGTGTCTGACATATGGGTTAATGGTGGACTTGTGGGTTTGGGCAGCACTGGGTTGGGATATTTTCTTTGATGTGCATTTAACTTTTATATAAAACTCTCTCTTATACATGAGTATTTGTGGATTTGTTTCTTCAAAGTACCCAGACTAACACACCGGCTATGGATCAAAATAGTGTCTGGGGTCTAAAAGGCTTGTAACTCAAACAAGCAGCCATCTAAGCCAGGAGTCAACTAAGTCCACACAGAAGAAGCACACCAGCTTGTATGATCCAAAGATGACAGTTACAAAATTCAAATATGGCAAAAGGAAAAGCTTCAGTGTATAAATTGAGAACACCCAATTTGTGGAGGGCAGTGGGAGCCAAAAACCCTTCTGCAGAGGATCTAGTCAGACTGAGCTGCTGGCGGCTGCTTTGGCCAAAGGCATTGCTATCAGGGAGAGATCACTGTTATCTTGAATAAGCTAAATGTAACTGGACACCTCACTACAGCCCGAGCTGAATTGGTCCAAGGTGCAAGTATCTCTTACTCGTTCCATGACAGATATTTCGTCCCTGGCTTTTTGAATGTTGACAGGGGACGGGGATGGGGTGGGGGGTGTCTTTCTTTCTTACTCATTACTTATATGTTGGTCTTTATATAACTATTATTTTACTCCCTTATTTCAATTTTGGTTTTTATTGTTTCTGTTGGGCTTCCCAGCTTGTGAAGCACCCGGGGAGTGGCTGCCCAGTGAGAATAACGAATGTAACAGTTGATAAGGGGACGCAGGGGTGGGGAGTGGGTGATACGGAGGGAAAGGGCGTTTGCGGAATCAAAATTGAAGGGGAGGGGGCACTAGAACTGACTGACTGCACAACTCATTTTAAAGGCGATTTAACCGTGGGAGGAGGGTGTTCTAAAATTGATACGGTAATGATTGCGCAATTCTCCTTGATATGATTGAACCGTATGATACGCACATTATGTGCCAATAAAACTGTTACAAAACGAACAAAAAGAGAACGCCTTGTCTTCTCCCAGGGAGCATTTGGTGGTTTCAAACCGTTGACATTGTGGTTAGCAGCTCAACACATACCACTACACCAACACTCACTGCCCTGGGCTCCATTCTGACTCACAGCAGCCCTTTAGGACAGGGTGGACCTGCCCTGTGACTGCTCACAAGAATACAAACCCCGCCTTTCTCTGGGGTTCTCACCAGGGTTCCTGGTGGCGTACTGGCTGTGCATTGGGCTGTGACCCACAAGATGACAGTTCAAAACCACCAGCTAGCAGCCCACCGTGTAGCCACCATGCCACCAGGGCTCCTAGAGAGTTGTATCTGTGCAAACGAGCTTTTTAAATAGATAAAGCCAGGTCACTTTTCTCAATCAAGATTTCTTTTGTGTTGGAAAACATAGGTAATTTTCAAAAATAAATGATATTCATGTTCACTGGTATTAGACTCTGTTTGCCCCCTCAGTTTTCAATTTTAATGCAGTAAGCATTGAGAACTATAATCTATATAAATAAAGGCTCTCTGAGACCCTTCATGCATTGAAGCGAGTAAGCAGGCCAAAAGTACTCACTGACGTCCCGTCCATTCTGACCCCTAACACCCATCAGGGCAGATGAACACTCCCACAGAGAAACTGTCGTTGTCATCGAAACAGTCTGCCTATCTAGCTTCCTCCGAGTGGCTGGCTGGTGGGCTTGAACCACTAACCTGCAATTAGCAGCCAAGTGCTTTAACCAGTGTTCCTAGATAAGTAACCTCCTACAATGACAACCTTGTTCTAGATGTACCTGGGGGGCGGGTGGGTGGGTGGGAATACATCCAGAAAGCAGGCTGGCAGAAAGGCCTGGCAATCAACTTTCGAAAGATCACTGCCATCGGAAACCCTAAGGAGTCCAGGGGCGCCCTGGCACACATGGGGTTGCCCACAGGGTCGCCCTAGGCCACGATGGACTTTGACAGCAACTCACCTGTGTTGGATTTCATCGGGTGGTGCACAAGGTTACATGCTAACCCCCCCAGCACCCCAAAATCAGGTTTTAAAATAAGATGATAGCTGATGTCGTCCTCTAGGGGTAAAGTGCAGCAATACAGCTTTCACCAAAAACTCACTGAATTCATTCACGATAAAAATTACATAATAGAAAGATACATCTCATGTGCCTGTGAATGACTGGCAGTTACAGCCCCACGTGGCACCCCACTTCAGCTGCAGCAAAAGCAGAACTGTAAAGCATTCTCTAAGATCGAGGAGACAGCTGGGAGAAAACAACAAACCTGGAGTCAATCCCAACTCACGGTGACCAGATAAGACAGGCTAGACGTGCCCTTGCGGGTTTCCGACTGTACATCTTGACGGGGAGAGAAAGCCCTGCCTTTCTCCAGTGGGGCAGCTGGTGGGCTCAAACTGCAGACCTTGAGGTTAGCAGTGCAATCCCCTACACCAGCGGTTCTCAACCTGTGGGCCGTGATCCCTTTGGGGGTCGAACAACCCTTTCACAGGGGTCGCCCAATATTCATCACAGTAGGCAAACGACAGTGATGAAGGAGCAACGAAAATCATTTTATGGTTGGGGGGGTCACCACCCCATGAGGAACTGTATGAAAGGGTCACAGCATGAGGAAGGTTGAGAACCCCAGCCCTACGCCTCCAGGGCTCCTAGCTAAAGGAAATGCTATAGAACATCACGCAGCAGGAGCCGTGGTGGCTCAGTGCTTAAGCACTCAAGCTGCTCACTAAAAGTCCAGCAGTTCAAACCCACATACTGTTCCAGAGAAGAGAGCTGAGGCAGTCTTCGTGTGGAGACAGCAGCCGTGGAGACCCTTCCAGGGTGGTTCTGTTCTGTCCTGCAAGGGTCCTATGGGTTAGTTAGAATAGATCCAGTGACGAGGGGGTTGTTTGCATTTTTAAAATCCCATGCAGAATTCTGCCCTAGACTATGTTCACATTAGGGAACTAGGCCAAAGGTCATCTTTTCCAAAACCATGTCATTATTTTACGAGTTTGTGGGAATAGGAGAGGGTCTCTTCATGGTGTGTTCCTGTGGGGCTTGTGGGAAAATATCCACTAAGCACACAGCTGAGTCACAGTCTTTCAGTAGAGTTAGCAAATATTCCCAGAACCCCCGTGCATCAGCCCAGCTCTGGGCTTCTTCAAACCCAACCTCCTTCGGCAGCTCCCTGGAGCACGACCATGTTTGTCTCAGCACACCTCTCCCACATGAACGGGATCCTCTGCGCTCTCCGCTCCCCAATCTCCTGGAGCTGAGCACAAAGCTCTGCTGGGGACCCACCAACCAGAGCACAGTCCCCCACTTACTTGAAGATGTTTGGGTTACAGTATGCCTTCTCGATCTTCATGTGTGGAAGGTCAATCCAGGTGTTCTCCACCTCCAGCATCTGCCACTTAAAGGGCAGGTAGAAATGCACTTTGCTGCAATTCACTACAGAGAGAGAGGAGGTCTGAGGACCTGTCACGGGTTGAATGGTGTCCCTCCCCAAATTACAGGCTGGCAGAAGAAGCAAGCAACTTCTGGCTTGGAAGAAGAACATCCCAAATAGCACTTAGCAGCAAAGCCAGCAAGAGTTTACCTCATTTACTTAGGAAGGACCGGTCCCTGGAGAGAGAGACATGCTTGGTAAAGCAGAGGATCGGCAAAGAAGAGGAAGGGCCTCCGGGGACGGACTGACACTGTGGATGCAACATAAGCATGCAAGAAGCCAGAAGATTCCTTCTCAGTGAGGACGCTGGCAATGGGAGCAGAAAGTCTGTAAGGTGGATCAGTGCCTCTGTACAGGGGCTCAAAGGTTCCTGCTGTAACAGAGCCTCTTTGACAAGGCGGTGTCCCCCTCACCCTCAGAACCAGCCCCGGGAGCGAGGTTAGAACCCAGGTCTTTCCATGACAACACCTGCCTGTTACTTGGCTTCTGGGGTATCTTTTTTTGTTTTTGGCAGGAGATGAGTAGTTGGGGGTGGGTGGGGAGATGTGGGGAGGAAGTGTCTCCCCGCACCCCCTTTCAAGCTCACAGATGCTTCCAGCATTAAAAACACGAGCTGGAGATGAGAATTTATATCCAGATGTTCATCACAGCATCATATATAGGAGCTAACAAACAAGCAAATGAAACACCTTTAAAAACATCCCATTTAACAATACTGGGAAAAGGTGTGGTAGTTAGATAATCTGGTGCCAACTTGCAAAGGGGTGGAGTCTAGCTTGTCAATCAGGTCGCAGCCTGATGGCCACATTCGGAGGCACCACGAAAATAAATAGCTCGCTGGAGGCCAAATACACACACTCTCTGCTTCATCTTCCTGCTGACAAGCCACGTGGAGCGACACGAATGAAGCCAGAGCCCTGGAGCTGGAGGGGCCATGTGGAGACCCCTGCCAGCACTGAGATGCTTCCACTCCCACTGGATCCACGAGACTTTCCACCCACTGACCTGTGATCATTCTGTCCTCAGCGGCATTGTATGTGTTGTGTGAGTCTAAAGAAGGATTTATGGACTAGTATTGGACATATGGGCTAATATCAGACTGATGGACTTGATCTGGTCTGGGCTGAGATGTTTTTCTCAATCTACAATTGCTCTTTGATATAAAGCTCTCTCTTACACACACATATATATATGTGTGTGTCTCTGGATTTGTTTCTCTTGTCTACCTGGACTAACACAAACGGCAGATGAAGAGTAGCCTGTCAGCAGGGAGGGAGCACTAGAACTGACTGTGATTGCACAACTCATCTTAAAGGCGATATAACCATTTGTGGGGTGGGAGGGAATTTCTAAAATTGACACGGTAATGCTTACATACATCTCCTTGATATGATTGAACTATTGAATTGTATGATATGTAAACAGAGGAATGGCCTATCTATATGATAAAAAACAGAATGGCCTTACCCATTAAAAGGTTGCCAAAAGAATATTAGACTGTTAAATGAAACAAAGTATTCAGAATATAATCAAAAGCTGGGATACAACACTGTTGATACAGTTGTTTCCCAATTTTCAAATTCAAAACAAGAAAAACATGGTGGAGGAAAGAGACTAAAATGTGACAAGACTGAGTCTGAATGGTCAGGTTTTTGCTCTTTTTTTCTTTTTAAAAATAAGGATTAGAAACAAAAATAATAAAATAAAATAAGGATTAAAACCAAAGTCCCGTACTGGCATCCCAAAGGAAACGGATTTTGGGGGTTCCCAAAGGGAAGTAGGGTGAGGGTGGGGAGAGGAAGCCAGCCTAGGAGGAGGACAGGTGTGGACTTGGGGGAAAAGAAAGATGGAGGGCCATAAGAAGGAGAAGAGAAATTGCGGTGGGTGGAGGTGGGGTTGGAAAAGAATATGGGATGGGGGGAGGGGTGTCTGAGAGGGGCTTGGACTGTTGACTGCAGAATTGATGGTCTAATTCACAATAAAGAAACAAAAATTATATATATGCTTGCCAAGACCTGTTGGTTTAGTTTTATGAGTTTGTTGGTTCTTGGTTGAGTGAAATGCATCCCCTGCGACAATACTGTGCCGTGATGAGCACGGTGGCTGCGTAACTCAGAATCAACACCTGAGTCAGCTCGCTTTGTGCGCCTCCAGACTGCGCATCTGCACACTGGCTGACGGGCAGCACCTGCCTCCAGGTTGCGGTGAAGCTCAAAGAGGATGCGGGTGAGGTTCACAGTGTCACCTTGGCGAGGCTGAGCGCTCAGCAGAGGTTGGCGACGTCACCATGCGTACTGTCTCGGTATACGGAAAGTACGTAGGATACTCACCCTCTTGACAACATTCCTGCAGGTAGTCAAGACAAATTTCTTTTGAGCCGCCATCCCTCTTGGAAGATGAGAGACTGGTCACGCTGGAGTTGGGATCTGAAAAGGGAAAAAGAGGGCTTCTCCGTATGTTGACATCTGTGTTTGTAACCCCAACGCCAGACGCCGGACCACACCATGAGGTGGAATCGCTGAAGCTGGGGGGTGTCCAAGGGCATGACTGTGCCATGCGTTGCTCACGAGTGTCTAGATGGCTTCTTGTGAAAGGAAGCAGGTGAGCATTACACTCATTCTTAAACCATTGTCACGCAATTGCTTTTTTCCATTAAGGTGGAAGCTTAATCTGTTGCTTCTCCTGGGTGGTCTTCCCTGAACTTCATGGGTACCCTCTCAACGGTGCCACCCCTTCGCCAAAGCCCATACTCAGAGCCCTTGTAAGCACTCAAGAAGCAGCCTGCAGCTGCTCCTCCCAGTGGAGTGTGTAAGACATTGTGACCCCACCTTCCTCCGACAAAGACTTACACGGAGCCAGGTCATGGGTCCGGCTACTCTTCAGCCTGCTGGCCGTGGTCATTGGGGTGTGGGCTGTGCTGTGACCGCTGACCCCGATGGCGGCAGCCCTGCTGCTGGAGGAGCTTGATGCCGTTGCTGGGTTGCTCTTCAGCCTGCTGGCTGTGGTCGTTGGGGTGTGGGCTGTGCTGTGAGCACTGACCCCGACGGCAGCAGCCCTGCTGCTGGAGGAGCTTGATGCCGTTGGTGGGCTGGTAGCCTGAGCAGAGACTGTCACCTTCCCAGGCGTGGGAAGGTCCTGGCTGAGCAGGTTTTGAATACCGTAGGGCAACGCATCTTGATCCCCTCTTGAGCTCAAACTAGGACCTCCCATCTTCTCTCTCTGCTCTGTCTCTCTCTCCACTTTCAGGGGCTCATTCCCTAGGTTGGGGGCATACTTATTAGACCAATAGGTCTTTGAGGCAATATACTCATTCTTAGACACCACGGCCGCCCCGTCCTCAGGAATCTTGCCAGTGCCAAGCGGAGCCCTGGGAATGGGTCTAGGGTCCTGGTCCTTAGACAGCGATTCTTCTTGTTCTCTGCTGGCAGTGGCCTTGTAACTTGGGGGTCCTGTGGGAGAGAGATCTGTGGTCACTCTGTCCACTCTGTTAAGAAAGGGGACCTGGTTTCCATTCCCAGCCTTGATGTCTGAGGAGAGCATGCTCAAGCTTTTCTGGGGTAAGGGGACAGGTGGATTCGGAGGAAATGCTCCCCCTCCCCAGATGCCCAGGCTGTCCACCCCAGACGTGCACTCCTTCCAGATGGAAGCTGGCGTTGAACCCGGCACAAGATGAGTGCTGCCTGAACGCCCATAAAAGAGACCCTCTCTACTGTCGTTCTCGGAAAGCGTGAAGTTTGCTCCCTTCTGGCTTGCAGGACCGGTGGCCTTGGTTGAGACCAGGGGAGGCGGAGAGCTATGCCGGCTGCCAAGATGCAAGAGTTTGTGGGTGAGAGCCTCCATCGCCCCATCACTGTCATAGTCATGGTCGTCATCATCGTCGTCGTCCAGGGAGGACCTGCGGCTGACTTTCTCGTGATCGGCTGCGCAGGAATTCAGGGAAGAGTCTCGAGCAGGTGGGAGAAATTCCTGACTATCTTTCAAGGTTCTGTCTCGACTCTTGCTTCGACCTCTGTATGGCACGTCTCGCCGATGCGGCGGAGGAGCTAGGAGGAGAAGAGCAGACAGAGTCATGAAAGTTAAGGGTTCCTGTGAGTGGATCTCACGTGCTGGGCTGTCGTGGACAAACCCTGAGTGGGCGGGTCTAACACACAGGAACAAACGCCTTCTCTCACAGTTGAGGCAGCCAGACATCGGCATTCAGGACACTAGCTCTAGGGAAGGGTTTTCCCTCTGGGGGGGAAGGTTCTGGTCTCCTTTCGACACCTGTGAGCCCAATGTTCTTTGGAGACCTCCTTGTGCCTTCGCGACAACCTTCCCGAGTCTAGGAGGTTCTCGGCACATGAGACCCAGGGGCAAAGGACTTGCTTCTATCCCAGCCCTTCTTTCTTGGTGGTAATGTGTTCCCTGTTCTCTGCTCGTTTCTTTCCCCTTCTCACTCTTGGAAAAGGTGATGCAGGTCACCCGCCAGAGAAATTCCCTCCATCAGGTCAGGACTACAACCTGGGTAAGAAGGACGCGTCTCACCCCAAGCCCTTTACAAATGACTGACTGCCAGCGTGGATCATGACATGACTGCCAACATGGATCGTCGCGTGCCTGCCAACCCACCGAGGATCATGTCCAACCAAGTTAGCACGTACTTGTGGTGATGGTAAGATTCGACCCGTGGCACTAGTCAAGTTTTACCTGGGCTCTGGGCTGCTTGTTCTAAAACCTCACCCAAGAGAAATGGACATTGGTGCTTGAGATAGTTAAAGTTTATTGTGCCAACCTGGCAGATAAACACATGTGGGGTTAATTGAAAGACGGAGAGATAAACGGCTCAGTGAGCCTCGCCTTTCTAGTTCTCAGGTCTCTTGCTTTGTGATGGTTGGACCCGAGTGCAGCTGCCTTAGCCAGTTCCCTGCTTCAGCTGGCATGGCTCACTTCCTATAAGACATCCCCGAGGAGAAGCCACATGGATTTCCCCCGATGCAGCTGCAGCCCTGGGTGCTGGAGCAGCCATGTGGAGACCCCTGCCAGCACTGAGATGCTTACACGTTCACTGATTCGGCTTTCCTCCTGCAGTCGGCATCATAGTGTGTGTTTTGTGAGATGGAGGAGGACTTTGTGGATTGGTGTCGGACATATGGGTTAATGTTGGACT